CCTGCGGACGCACCCTGGCCCCCCGCCCCCCCGCCGCGGGGAGCGGCTACTCCTTCACCCTTGAGATGCCACTTCCCATTGGCCGCCTGCAACGCTCGCCGCCATTGGTCGCTGCCTTGCTGCGACCCAGCCAGTCGGGCCGTCAGTCGAGACAGCGGCGTTCTGATTGGTTTTTCTCCTCACTCGTCACTCAGTCACGATTGGCTAGATAGCGACCGGATGTGCCAGAGCGCCAGCGATTGGCTGTCGCGGGGTGGGCGGGGATACGACGCGGAAGGGGTGGCTCGCGGGAGGGGAAGGTAAACAGTCCTCTGGGGGCGGCGTGGCGAAAGCTTGGGTCGTGGGGGCTGTGGTGCGCAGGCGCGTTTCCTGACTTGGGGTTTCAAGACTCTCGGCGGCCGCCTTCCCTCCGTCGGAACCCCAGACCTGGGCCCCATATCCCCGCCTCAACCTCGGGGTAGCTGATCGTGCTGGCGCCTGGCGGGAGCGCCTGTGGTCTCCAGTTTAGTTGCTACAAGCTGCATTCTGGGATCGTATATGCACATGGGCACAGGTGTTTTTTCTTGGTTTTTTTTTTTTTTTTTTTTTTTTTTGTCTAATTTGGTTTTGGCGGCCTTAATGAAATCTCATCTTTTTTCATTTTTGTTGTTGTTGTTTTGGCTGTGGGGTAGCCTGCACTTGCTGGAAAGAGAGACAGAGACAGAGAGAGAGGGAAAGTGAGAGAGCATCTCCCAGGGTGATGGCCACGCTGTTGCATACATTCCTGGTGTGATTAGTTTTTTCTTTTTCTTTACATTTTTTAAAAAGAATTATTTATTGGATTTATCTCTTTTTTTTTTTTTTTTTTTTTTTCCCCTGGTTTTTTTCCGTGCGGGGTCCCACGGACGCTGTTATTTTTTTTTTTTTTTTTTTTTGAGCCGATTTTGCTATAGGACACATGCCGTCGCCAGAAAGAAAGAGACAGAGACAGAAAGCGAGAAATCACCCCCCAGGGGGGATGGCCACGCTGCAATCCCTTCTCCTCCATTCTCCTCTCGGGATCTTGGGGATCTTGGGCACGCACCACGCGCCCAGCGTGAGTTTAAGCCACTGAGACTTGAACCACAGTCAACTACATGGGAGCCCAGCGACATAGCTATTAGGCCAACTGCTGGTCCCTGTTTTTTCTCTTTTTAAAGAATTATTTTTATTTAACTTTATTTATTTTAATTTGACCAGAGAGGTACAGAGTTGGGGGGAGTGAGAAAGCAAGCCGCCAGATTCAAGACTTAAACTGCAGTCGGCCAGGTGGAAGTCCAGCGCCCTTAACCACCATGCCACCTGCCAGCCCCAAATATTGTTGTTTTTTTTTTTCCCGATCTTGCTATATGGCATGTACTCTCACCAGAGAAAGACAGACAGAAAGTGTATGGGATCAGCAGATGGCGGAATGGTTATGTCGCTGGACTCCCTCATGGTCAACCGCCATTCAAGTCCTCCTCCTCCCAGCTTAAAACTGGCAGGTCCCATGTGCGTGTGTGCCCAAAAATCTCTAGAGGAGGAGAAGGGATTGGCATAGCCATCCCCTACCCCGGGGGTGGGGGAGGTGATTTCTCATTTTCTGTCTCTCCAGCAAGTGCACAAGCCCTATAGCAAAAACCTCTTAAAAAAAAACTTTAATTATATTTATCATTATTATTATTCATATTTTTTAAAGTTTTGCTACAGGCCACATAGGCTCACCAGAAAGAAAGACAGAGGGAACGTGAGAAAGGAAGCCTCCAGATCTGGGACTTGAACCATGGGTGGCCATTGGGGAGTCCAGCGCATCATCCACCACAT